TCTGAAATGCTACAATAGCAGCACTAGTGCGCCATCTTGATGTTGAAAATGATGTTCGTTCGTTCGTTCGTTAGGGGGTGAACATACAGTACACTAGTAGATTTGCACCGAATGCGCACCTATTTTCCCAATCACAACTACCACCTCAACCAACCTGTCCTCACCCCACCTCCCCCTCCGCTGCTGCCCTAACCACCGACTCCACGCAAATATGAACGATGAACGGCTCCTGCTACCATCCTATGGCATGTACCACACGACATCAATTTGTGTTGTTTGAGGGCGCAGGTATGGAGGAACGGCTGTTGCCATGATCTCTTGGATTGCGGCGCACGACACAAATATCGTATGTTTGAGGCCGTGGGGGTCTTCTGGTTTTTATCTTTTCACAAAAAATAAAACTCTGTCAGCAGTCCCCAACGACCAACGTCGTTTTCAACCAATGAATAAGAACTTTTCGAGTTCGAGAGCATTTTGTTGCCGATTGATTACAGCCCACCATACATCCTTTGGCATGCAGCTTATGACGCAATAAAAAAATACTCATGCCTTTCGGCTGAGCATCTATGGTCATTGATTGCCGGACGTGCACCATTTTGACATGAGCCTCCATCACTCTCCAACGGATCCGTCACCCTAGCGCCCTTCTGCTGAAAGGCATTTTGCGCAATGTAGTGTACTCCTCGACATTCAAGCCGCCGGTTTCGTGTTCCCGTTTGCGGCTGGTTCACATTCGCCACGTTCGCTTGCGCCACGGAAGTGCTTCAGGGCTTCTTCGTTTTTCTATCTTTTGTTCCTGCGGTGCTGTGTGTAGAAGATCAAGGGAATTTCCTGATATATACACGAGGGGAGCTTTATCTCTCCGGTATTTTCAAGATGATTTCCTGCAAGCTGCCGTTCTTTCCGCAGCTACTTACAGATAGCGCCCGCACTTATGAACTTAGCAGCATAGAAATTGAACCTCCAAAAACTCAATAGCTAGGAACTTGAGCACCACTTTGAGCCCGGTTAAGAACCCCTACTATACTAAAACCAATATAGCGGCCATTTGTAGCCCACAAGAGGAACAAAGAAGCCCAGCCTCGGTCAAAACTACCAGAGGTTCTTCAGTAAGTGCGGGCGCTATCTCATCTGTAGTGCGTGCCGACCGTCAAACGTTGAGTTTCCAGGAAATTTCTTGTTTTTATACACTTTCTCCCTCCAGAGTCCACTGACTCTCTCTTGGTACATCTGCCTGGGCATTTCCACGTTTGCTTCCCTGCAAGGTGGCTTCTATTCGTAGCTAGTGTTCCCGGCTTCTTAGGCCGCGTCGTGTTCTTTTCCCTGCACCTGTGTGGACTTCGCCCTCCGTCCTCTGTTCTTTAGTATTTTATTGGACATACAAATTTACGATCAATACCGCTCCTGCCGCCATCCCAACGCCTTTATCAGACCCCGATTTTTGGGGAATCAATCTTCCTTTGGGCAAGTCTTGTCTTTTTCGGCCATTTGGGAAGTCTGCTTCCCCGCACGATGCGAATCATCTGTTCGACCTTCGAGAATAGTCACAGTTTCGGCTGAGATGTCTACAGATTGCCCATTTCGCCAGGGTGCACGTTTCATTTTTCAATATGTGCAATTTTCACGCAAGATTCTTCCAAAACCAGCTTTTTTTCAAATCTTGGCCCAAGATTTGCTCGGAGTTGGCTTTTCGGCTCGATCTTGGACAAATTTTACACACCTTGCTCCGCTGGAAAAACATCAAACGTGGACCCTGGTGAAACAAATATGTGATCTGTAGACATCCCAACCAAAGATGTGACTATTCTCGAAGGTCGAACAGCTGATTTGTATTCATTCGGAAGTAGACTGCCCAAAAGGTCGCAAAAGACAGGGTTTGTCCAAAGGAAGATTTGTTCCCCATAAAGACAGGTCCTACCACTACAAGATCATGTCTGCCAACGCCGACGCCTCCGCATCGGTCTCACCATCATACTTTGGCATGCGGCATACGACCGAAAATACTTCCGTCTGAGGCAGTGGGCCCCGACACTTCCGTCTGAGGCAGCGGGGGGGCGATAGGCCCCCGCGGCCGGAGTACTTGTAGGTATAACTACAATTATTTCTGCGCCCTGAAACGCAAGAGTTCATCCACTGTTACAGTCTAAAAGCAAGATTGTTTTCGGTGCATCAGTCTGCAGTCGCCTTTAGACTATTTGTTTCGCCGGCCTTCGCCTACTTGAGTGGGTCAGTCTCTCGGTCACAACGCCCCTGTCGCGAGCTCGAAACTCCAAAGCCGAGAGTAGAGGTACAGTGCAATAAATGCACGCACCCATTTTTTTCAGTCATTTTGAGCTAGACATGTGGTGTGGTACTCAATTCGGTTCAAACCGCTTGTAAACAGTGATAAATCATTTTTTTCGGCGACCTGGCCGTGCCAATGTGACGATCACAACGCCGCTGTCGCGAGCTCGAGACTCCAAGGGCGAGGCGAGTTACAGCACCGCGCAAAACGCTTAAATTTCCTGCACCAGGGCAAATCTACGCACGGAATTGTCAACTCTAAAAACTCGCGCAGGTGGTTGGACAAGGCATTGTGGGAGAACGTGAACTCATCATCAATATATGCCATGCTTGCATGTGATCAAGTTGTTGTGTCCAATGAAGATAATGTCTTTGAGGTTATGCAGTCTCCCTGCATGCCTTTCATGTAAATGCTAGATAGATGATGTAGACATTACCAACAGTCAGTCAGTGGGATCAATGAGGCACGCGCCTGCCTTTGCTTGCTACGGCTCTGGCTCGCGTCGGATAACCCCACCGGAACAAAACCGGACGCCGCCCTATAGAGTCCAACAAAGCGTTCAACCATTTACCGGTCTTTTGAGTCATATATATGCATACCACAAGTTTTGTGTTGTTTTCTTCGTTTGTTTGTCGCTACGGTAGTGGCTTTGGCGCGTGTCTTTCTCTGTGTCTTTCTCGTTCCCCTTTCTCACTCTGGTCTCTTATTTTCCTATTTGTTTTTCTTCCTTCCAGTCAAACGTTACCTCGAATTGCGTGGAAAGGCGAGCGGAGTGTCCTAGTCTATCTGTCGTTGATTTCTTTTGACTTGCGGACCCTTCGGGTCCATTATGTTTTCGTAACCTTCTTTGGGTAAGTTAGCCTGTGACCACGTGAATCGATCCCGTCAAGTGTTACACTACTACGGATAGAAGAAGGTACTGGGCAGAGAGATCGGAACGGTTTTTAATGTGGAGACAACAACAGCAACAACCATTGTTCTAGAAAGTCTACAGTCGGATATACCCCCATCGGAACAAAACGACCTGGAGGCTGCCCTCTAGGCCAACAAGACATTCAACCATTTGCTGACCTTTTGAGTCATATGCATACCACAGTTATATGGAAAGTCGGATCGACAATGAATGGTTGACTTCGTCATTCCAAGCAGAGATGAGATAAAAAATATTGTCCATCGATCAAATGTTTGGGTTTTCCGTCTTGTCGCAACATTCAGTATTATTGTTTTCGGAACGTCTTTTCCAGCTCTGTGCCCTTTCTTCGTGCCCTTGGTATGCTGTGCACAGTCTCACACGCACCACCCTTCCTTTCAGCCCAACACTGAGGGCGAGGGCGCCTGGCGCCCGAGCCAGGAGACCTTGTATATTGTAACATTGTCATGAGACACTCCACAGCCCAGAGACAGCCAGACACGATCATGAGACAAGTCCAGCAGACGAAGGAAATCCAACACTGCAGTTATGAGATACTCAGCGCACAGTATTCAGTTCGCGTCTGGAGTCACGCAGCGAGATAAAATCATCCCTCCTTTTGTGTGATCAAGCACTTCGGGAACCAGTGTTCAACGACACACGAATGCTGCTCCCCTCTCCCGCTTCCAAAATGTACCAGGAACCCGACAGAGGTTCTGAGGCGCCGTTCCAGGTCGCTTTGTGCCGACATGCCATTCGTGTACGTTCGTCAAATTGGCCAATAGCTAGAAAATACAATACAGTTCACCCGAACGACCATGAACGTCGATGTTCAGCACGATTTTCACGCTTATTGTTCGCGTGTCTGTGTGACTGCTTGTATCGTGCTGACCACAGCCCTATACTGGACGTCTACTTGTCAAGCGAGGAGGGTGGGATCCAGGAGTACGTGACCCTTCCCTATACCCGCAACGTGTTTCCCATCGAGTTCGAGGAACTACACCTGGAAGAGGTACAACTGGTGAGGCCGGGTGTGGGTGTAGTGCGAATTCAGGGGGTTTGGTTGAATTGTTCGTGAGATCGTCGTCACGGTGTCAAGATAGATATGAAGGTATATCCAGCTTCCAAGGAAACCTAACACACTTTCACCAATGGGCATATCGCGGCGTTCGTTTTGAAATGGCTCCTGCTTGTTGACGTTCGGTTGCCAATCCTTTGCCATGTGGTATCGCACCTCGTTTGGCCCCGTGGGATTGTGGGTTGGTCGTCGGATCGAAGACCATTGGCAGAACCGAGAGGAAGTACCTACAATCGGAAACCAGGGTCATCACTCCGGCTTTGACGATTTCGTCAATACCAGTCGTATACGGCTACTACGTCGACGGCTACGGCTACGACGACGACTTCTTCGACGACGACGACTATGATGACGACTATGACGACGACTACGACGACGATGATGACGACGACAACGACGACGATGACGACGACGATGACGACAAGTCGACGCGGTCGTCATTGTCTTCTACTGAGTATACGACCACTTCGTCGACTGTGTCCAGCAGTACGTTCTCTCCATCCGAGGCATCCACTATGCCACCCGGCGCTTCTCGGCAACGGCGCCAAAGACGCCAACGACGTCGACTTGTCTCCTCCTCCTCCTCCTCCTCATCATCAACAAGTGATTACACATCTTACGACGACGACGTCACCTCGTCGACATACTTCTCTTCGTTGGACGACGACTCCTTCACCTTCCTACGTGCAAACGATACCAACGCTTCGTCTCCGTCATTCTCTGCGGGAATGCTCAATATATATATACTGCAAGGCTCGTATTCGTTCATCACAATTGAGGACATCGACCCGCTGGATATTGGTGACTTGCTGGGCAATATCGGCGGGTTCTGGGGTAAGTTTAGTAGCTAAGAGGAAAGGCGGTTACCTTGTCAGAGTCATTGTCTCTGACGAAATGTCTAAGGATGCGCGGTACGGTTCTGTCATGATCATATGTATGTGACATGGAGCGGAGGGCGACAGATATCGTCGTTGAGGCTTACTGACGCTTTTCTTTCATCCAACAGTCAACACGTCAAAGCTTCTCGGCCTACATGCATGTAGCGGTATCAATAAACACGTATATCGTTTCAGTACGAACAATCATTTTTTATTTTATTCCTGCAATTTTTCACTTCGGAGCTCAGTTGGGGTCTGTGACGTTTGAAAACAACCCCGCTTCTTCTACTCCGTCCACAGGTTATGTTCTACTCTCGTTTGCAGTGTTCTTCACGGTAGCTGAGCCAGAAAAGCTGCCAAGGTTACGAGCGCGTGCGTTCTACACGAAGCGCGGGACCGAAGAAATGAGACGCCGTTTGTCGGCCACAAGCAGTACGAGTAAGTCGCCGGATGCTTCACAGGGTGCTACGGAGGTTCGAGAGCAGCTGCCCGACTGGGCAGACGAGAGAAACGGCGGAGAAGGCGAAGCCGAAGGCAAATCGGTAAATATAACAATCACCTTGCAATTGTGTTGCGCGATTAGCGGGGCACAGTGGAGGGCAAGACTAGAACATCGTACAACTGGTTCTGAAAACACCTTCGTATCGGCAGGCTGGTCGAGTGTCCCCCTCCAAACGAGTGAAATTGATTCGTGTTCCTGGTCACCTAGCCACCGCGTGCACGGCGTTCACCAGCGACTCGCTGCCACACAAACGCTGTTTTTCCCCGCCTATGACCCCTTCCACCTCTCGATGCTCCGTCATGACGATGGAGCCCCACCCTTTCTCTTGTGCATCTATCCACACTGCAGGAAGTGGAGACCCCAGCCATCCCGAGCTTGAAGAACCCCACACCATCTATGATTCGGAGGCGCTCATCAAACGAAGATCGCGAGACATGCGGAATCCAAGGCACCACATCCGTTGTTGTTGAGGGCGAGCCGAGAGGAGTCATGGGCTAGATCTGGTGACGGCTAGGGATACATTGCCGTAGATGAACGCACCCAGAAGCGGCAGCACCAGCAGCAGTAGTGACGGTGGACATTTCCTATTCTTGCTGTATGGTGAGCAAATTTCGTACCCCAAGGCGAGCGGGGATGTCCTCCAGGTATTTCGCCCCGGAGAGGAAATAGGCGAGTACTTCGGGCCGGTTGTCGAAGAGTAGATACGCACGAGCAAAAGGTGTATGTGGTGGCTCAGATGCATTCGACACGATACATAGCCAGGGTGTGGTCACAAGCAGGTATACAACACCCAAGACCAACGTTTTCGGTTGAAGACATGTGCACTTCGTCGACAAACCTTTTTCGGGGGTTGATGGGCTACCCATGTGCGTGGGGCGAAGGGTTTATCGTTGATATGCCTTGCATTAGAGACTGCTAATCGTGTTCGTTCGGCCAAGCGTGTTGCGGCCCTGAGTGTCAATTGAGATGGTGGTCCCCTACCGTTTCCGGTTTCCGGCGTTCGTCTTCGGATTCGCCTGCGCTTCATTACCACTCCCCCTACGTTTAGCTAATCGCTCTGTGTCTTTGCTGTTGGGATTGACGGATGCGTTGCTGTACAATGCTGAGAAAGGACACCGGCTGGTGGTGCAGTCGAACATATTGTAGAAGCTCTGCGAGAAGAAGCTGTTCAGAAAATGTTCTGTCGACTCGTTTTCCGTATACGACACAAGATATCACACCCACATAAGATAAGACACCCCCCACAGAATACCATACCCGGTGCTGATATTTTTGGATCTCAAACGAAGAGCCAAAATACCGCCCCGGTTTCACAACATAATACACCCCCTGAGTTTAGGCCGCATGTATTCACGGAGCCCCCACCCGGTGATGAACAAGCACCAGTGGTCGCTGATCACCCACAGGATGGCTCAGCAGGGAAAACACCCAACACACCCTCTGGGTACGGGGCAACCGCCCCGGATGGAGGTCTCCAATGACATGAACGTGTAGGGAGAGCAGAATCCCACTGCAGCTATCTCTGCGTGTTCGGCAGCTGTTTCGACCGCAGCAGTGGCTCGCCCGATCATAACCTCGTTTTTCCGTCAACGCGAGCAAGGTTCTACACCTGCGGCTTCTGTACCTGCGGCTGGCAAAGCCGGCACAGAAACGAGCGCCAATGGGGCAGCCACCACGCTGGCTCAGCAGCCTGCTGCTGAGTGACTCTCAGCAGCACGCGATGGTGATGATGATGCAGAAGAGTCCATGCGCACCAGTCAAGCCTCCGACGAGGACGAGGGGGGCAGAAGCTCAGCGATGCTGTCTGTCGTTCTTCCCTTACTTAGCGGTTAGACCCGGGGCGGGGGGTAATGAATGGAAGCTTCCGCCTCGCAGCGCGTTGATCGTGGGTGCACCTGAGCTTTTTTTCTTCCCCACCTTCTCGGCATATTCTCCATGGTGCCAGGCGGTATTGATGAAAAACAAATTGTTGCATGGCAACACCTTAGCTGTAGTTGATGAGGGCGTTGTTGACGTTCATCACCGGGATCATGTGATCAGGAGGTGTATCACGTTCCCGGTTAGTACCCCTGCCCACATAGCACACGTGCCAATACCCTGCAAGTGCGGGAGCATACGGTAGTTACATGTGGGCAGCCGCTACACGTGCGGCAGCAGGCACGGTCGGAAATTCCTTGTAATAGGTGCTAGCACACCCCTTTCGTTACCACACCCTAATGTGCGGCAGTGGTATCACATCCCCTGAATATCACACCCCTAGTTTATCACACCCTCTGGGTATCACACCCCTTCGCTACCACACCCCTTTTCGGTCCCTGCAAGTGTGTGGCAGGCCCCTGGATATCACCCCCCCTCATGGCTCCACCGGCCGCACTTTATCACCCGGGCTACATAAGATATCACGCACCCCACAGAATACAACACCCGGTGATAATGTTTTTCAACGCCAAAATGCACAGAAGTAATGATTGGGTGAAACAGGTAATTGCCTCATTCAAATTGTTGCGCGCTCTAGGTCGCTGGTTCGAAAGATCTGGCCTAAGAAACTCGCACCTTTCCAGGAACTGAAGCCCCATGAGATTGCACAGTAAGGGGAGGGATCGCTGACCTCTGTTCGCCTTCAACATCGACGATAATCATCTCAGAAGGAAAGGTAAATTGTTATCCTTTCTCTTGTAGTGAGCCGCGGAGAGCGAAGCGCGACCGTTCGAAAACCTCCGTCCCAGGAGGGAAAAACAGGCTCTAAGTATCGGCCTGTTGCGCCGCCGCGTGGTGCAAGTGCTCCAAAGTTATATTTCTGGGATCTCCAAATTCCAACCTTTTCGACCAAAAAGAGGTCCATAGAGCACCGTTTGACGATCTGCTGGCGTGTGAGGAAGAAGAGAAATAGGGCACTCTTTATTACCACACCGGTTTGGTCGTGCTCCGACAGCAGATGACCGTGCTTCACCGGCATTTGTACCCAAAAACCATAGGAGGTACTCACCCCTATCCCCGGGAGTTGCCCAGGTAATGGAAAATCGGACATCTCCCACACACACCCTCGGTTGGTTCACACCAGGAGAACAGAGGAACAGAGGAAGAACTCAGGGAAACACGCAACACCGCCGGGAGTGGCAAGGCAGCACTGGCGGGGGAGCCACATACAGAGCTAAGGGCGGATGCCATTGTCAATTGCTGTTGCTTCTCGGTATGTAACCCAAACCTTGGCCTGGGAAAAAAAGCATATTGATCCCAGCAGGCGCGGCGTGTTTTTCAGGCTGTCTCAGACTCTCGGGCTCCCAATTTCTGAGCGTGCTACATCCTTCTCGTCTGCATCAATCACCACACAGGATGGAGCATGGACACAGCTCGTGGCGGATACCTTTGCTATTATTGCTGTTGCTTCGGTGTGTGGGGAGGGGTCACCTTGAAACAAAGCTGTCCACGGGAAAAAAATACACAAGAATAGCCTCTTTCTTCTGGCGTTTTTTTTTGCGCGTGCATGCACAATAAATAGGACGAAAAAACACATACATACACTGCCGACTCGCCACTTCAGCTTCCGTGGGTCCTATGGCCCCGTGGCCTCTGTCAGCCGCCACACAAGGCGTGGAATACACACAGCTCGCGGGGGAAAGCTTCTCAATTGCTGCTGCGTCACTCTGTGCAGAGAAACACCGAAAGACTAAATCGGTTCAGGAACGTATGCACACGTGTGATATGTGCACACAGGTCTACCATCGGTGACATAGGATACCACACCCCCTGTACCGAGATTAAAAGCTCGAGTATTCCAAGACGAAGAGGATGCGTAAACCCAGCGAGACGCTGTCGGATTGTCGGAAAGCTCTCGACGAGACGGTTCCCACACCACCATTCATTTTCGGCACCACCGCTCTTTGTGGAGCAACCGAGTGTTCAAAAATTGGTCCAGGGGGTGGCATCTTGTGTCACCTACTACGGAATACTGCTGTATGCGCACGAATCCCAACGGCCGTTCGGTGCAGAAGACGGGGCCTTATCTATTTTTCTCAACATGACACAACGAATCCATCTCTATTGCTGTTGTTGTTGTTGTTCTTGTTCTTGTTCTTGTTCTTGATCACTCGGATTCAAAATTCAAAATAATTGGCTGCTTCGTCACCGCAAAAATAATCTCAGAGGGACTACTGCAAGGTATTGAGTCGGATACCCCGCGGCTCATCACCCCGCCCTATCTAGTACTCAGTAGCCCGACTGGGACGTCAAAGCCGAAACGAATATGCACAGAGTAGATCACAAACAAACCTCCCCATCAACACACCTCCACACCCTGCGAGAACGCGACCCATGTATTCTTGTTTGGGCATCCAAGCGCAGTTGGCCACTTTATCACACGGGCCACATCAGATACCCCCACCCCCCCCGGTGTTTCACCACATTATATCACGGAAACCATCGGGTAGTTGCCGTGACCGTGATCACACATAAATAGAAAGAGAGTTGCAGGGTGCACGCTGCCCAGCGTCCTCAGCACAACCATGGATACCAGCAGCAGCACGGAGAAGATCACGTCTGTGGAGCCAACTCAAACCTTTTCAAGCATCTATCTCCGCGGCTCATGCACCGGCTCCTCCAGCCCCGATCAGGGTTCTTTGTCGAAGCAACAAGCAACCCTCTCTGTTCATGTATCATACCCCGAGCACCTACCACCTGCTGCTGCTGCAGCAGCGGCACATGTGAAGAGATCACTATAGAAGACAGATACCTCAGACCCCATCAAGTCAGCCACTGCTTGCCCTTGCGTACATTTATTGTTCGACACATACGACAGCAGTACCGCCACCCTTTTAGGGACACTCCACCCACCCTGGCATGGTTGCAACAGTAGAAAACGTTGAAGTAAATCGCCCATTCTCGGAAGAAGGAATACCACCACACACGCTTTTGGTGTCGTACCCACTTGACTGCCAGCAGCAAGTAACACCAGCACCTTTGGGGGAAATACGTTTGGAGGAAATACGATGTCACCCCGCTTGTCATCAACCCACTTTACTGCCAGCAACAGTCTTGGAATGATACGAAGAAACTATTCGATATACTCGTAGCATAGCATGGGGGTGGTATATTGCGTATACATATGCGGGGATTGCAGTGACGAACTACGGAGGGACAAGAAGTTTCTTTGTGTTTTCCTTGGGAGTGTAGTAGATTGGTGGAGATTCATGGAGATTCGTTCTGGGTATTAAAGCGTTATGCGTGACTTGATGCCGTGATGGAATGACGAGCTCAAGCACGCCCCCGATGAATACAACACGTTTTTCACCACGTCTACACGTCTTTACCTACCCGTGCGGCCCGTCATGGCCGAGCTGCTCTACGCTCCCATCACACACAACTGAGCCACCCGAATTATCGATCAGAAACTACCACCCGCGTAGTCACTTCTGGACCTGTTCTGAACCCTTCCGTCCGTCTTGTCCGTGGACACACACACCTCGTGTTTAATCCAGAGAATAGCTTAGCCTCCCCCAAACCACGGGGTCCCAGCTCATGACATTTATTAGAAGTGTTTCGTGTTTTCAACCGCAATGATTGCCTGCTGTCGGCAGCACGACAAGCGAGGGAGGCGACACACAGGTCAATCTATCTTTGTCACACACACACACCTCGGTTGTAGGTACTCGTACGGACCTATACCCGACAAGACAACGTACCTGGAACGTGCCGTCATCGGATATGGTGCGCTTTCTTCCACGTGCATGATGCACACGAGAAATATATAGACCTTCAACGCGAGCCAATACATGTGCAGATGTGCAGCACCTACATAAATACGGGAGTCCAGACACCCTGCTCTGGCGCGGGACTGTTGACCCCCTCGCGGAAAATAAGCAAAGAGGCGTAGTCAACATGGGACACTACATACCATGGACATTAGCCCAGCCGAGCTGTAGTCAGCCGCTTGCCACTCGAGGTGGGCAAGAGGGCAAGGAGCGTCTCTCTCCGACCATCCCCGACGAGCGTCTCAATTGGGGGGCAGCAAAGTGACGGATTTCGAGAATTACCTGCTTGAGAAAGAAGGCACCTCTTCCACGATCAGGATGGAGGAGCTGTTCGCTGCAGCCACCGGCTGCTTGAATCCCTTGGTCGCGGCTTCTTACCTTGAGCGCGCCGGTTACGATTTGACCCGAGCAGTCAACCACTTCTTGGACTCCCCAAAGAATGATACTGCGGCAAGCCGGAGCCACAGTGACTACTGTAAGAGCGCCTCTTGCGGCGATGACAACAGCGACCCCCGCTCCTTGAAACGACAGCGTGCGGCGATGGCAGGAGAGAAGCAACAACAGCAGCTCTTGAAGTTTGAACACGCAAGGCCCTTGTTGTCGGACACCAGCAGTAGCAGTGTCACCGCAAGTGTGGGAATGCCTTTCTCATCAGGCATGGCGGAGGAAATACATGCAAAGCCATGCGATAGCATACGTGGTGCTCCTGTACCAAAGTCGACCACGGCTCCTTCCGCAGGGTGGGAAGCGATTGCTGAGCGCTGCCAGAGGTGCGAACCGCAGTTTAATTCTGCTACGAAATCTTGAACCGGCTCTTATGCTGTATACGCGAGACCATGCAACGAACCCTTGATACAACACGAGCCGAATCTTCTCTCCATGAAAGTGTAGTCCTGCTTATTATTGTCGACTGTGTACAAGTACAGTAGTAGAAAAGAGGACTAAATTCGTACAACACAGCCGTGGTGAAGCTCTGAAAGCTTCCGGGTCTTACCCTCGTGAACATAGGCAAGGAGCACAGTACGAGGATGGCGATTTTCTCCCTGTGCCCTCTAGTTTGGACGGACGGATTGGGAGAGGCTGCTCTGCTTCGTCGCGGGATTGCACAGACGGTGGCGGCACGGAAACTGCCGAGGTGACAAGCACGGGGGGGTACGTTCTTGCTGACCATGCATTCACCTGCAGGTGGTGGACCGGTCTTGCCCTCCCTGTGTTGGCACATCTAAGTTTCTTGTGACGAAAAACATTGTGTGTTCCATTCATCGGAAAAAAAATCACCCAAACAGAAAATTACAGTCCCTCCTCCGGAATAATCGATTGGGGAGATGGAGTGGGTTGGGGATGAGGAGAGAGAGGCGCAGGGAGAGGGCGTGGGATGCGTCATGGGGACTACGTATAAGAGCGAGGGATAACAAAGAACAGTGGGTGAGCGACTGTGTGAACACAAGTGTCAATGCTAGCCATGCTAAACGGCAGATGGTCACTACCTCTCGTGCCCTCCCCAATGCACTACACTCGTCTCTGGGCGTCGGTGGCCGGGCGCACGATTGGCTGCTGTTAGGGTCATGCCCGTTGCAAGTGTGGCACGAGTGCCCGGGTCATCACGGTCAACAAGGCGGGCGTAAACCAGGGAAGGCTCTTCTACGGGTGCATCACCCGCAAGTGTGACTTTTTTAGGTGAGGCTCACGGAGAACGAGTGCGCGCTGCTGTTGTGTGTTTTTCGTTTTTGATTGCCGTGCGTACGTTGTTCTTACGAGCCTTGTTCTTCGTTGGCGTGGTTCAGAAACGTCTTGTCTCTCTTGACTTCACCACGGCATGTCGGTTCGTTTCCAATTTAACCATTGGCAGAGAAGGAAATTCGGTTCTTGCGCGTTGCCGTCGCGAAGGAGGACTAACCTTAAACATGATGTGTCTTGCGATGCAAGTCACAGGCGGTTACCCGAAAAACGTCAGTAACATTGATTATCAACACGATACATTCAGGTGGGCGGATGATGCGCCTCACACGCGGCAGGCGCTTTCTCTGGTATGGAGGCGGTTTTCGCCGCCCAGATTCAAGCTGTCGAGCGCAGCGCCAAGGGGGGCGGAAGGCGTTGGGGGAAGTTTCAAGCCTGAACACGTCATGCAGGTAGATGACTTATTTACGCAGGCTATCTGCATAGGTATGAGCCCGTTGTTTTTGCTGTTTCCACTTTGGCATACCTCCCACAGTATCCAGTGTTTCAGTCTTGCTTTTGAACCAGTCGGTTAGAAGCGACATTCCTTTTGCGGTATAGTCTCAGGCTTAAGATAAACCGAGAGCACACTTTGGTCCGATGCTATTCGTCCACATTGCTTTGGGCAGCGGACCCTTACGTAAGTATTTTTTTTGTTAGACACGGAAGAACTTCCAACAATCCATCTTTGTTTTAGAAGGGTAGAGCCGGGTAGATACCCGTTTCCCACACCACACGTCCATGCAAGATATTCCGTAAGACAGGAACCCCTGATTGGGCGATGGGTAAGACTCGCGGGAAGAATCCCCGAAAGCCTCTTGAAAGATGCAGCACAGCAGCAGCACGCATAGACAACACAGAAGACAACCAGCACAGCAGGACACAAGACGGCTGTAGGGTAAGGGCAGCCAAAGGCACACGTCATAGGAGGCGTCGGGTGCGACTCTTAGAGCCTGTTGCGTGCTGCAGAAGCACACGCGCGAGGGGGGCGACACAAGCCAATCTGCGATCTGTCTTCATCTGCGGGCCGATATTTTGAGCTTCCCACCCAGACGCACCCACAAAACAGAGACAACGAGACGTACTCATTGGTGTAGGTCAAGGACGGCCAAAGGCACACATCATAGGAGGCGTCGGGAGCGACTTCTAGAGCCCGTTGCCTGCTGCTCGCAGCGTACGCGAGGAAAGCAAGTGCACCCACACGCGAAAAATCCCTGTGTAGTAAATGTCCCCCGTCCTCTGCGTAGTACCCTTCCCACGACCATCAAGCACTACTGGTGGCATTTCTTTCCGTTTTCCACTCTGTCGACGAGTTCATTGACGGGGGCCCGTTGCTCCGATACCTGCCATCTGCTCATCACCCAATTGTTGTAGTTGCCAAGCGATTCTGGTCTCAAGGAAGATTCCCACTCACATTGCTCGCGTTTTTGTTGCACGACCGACCGCTCGGCCTTTGGTTTCTTCCCAAGGGGGCTGTGGGAGACTGCTGGTTCCTGGCTGGACTCGCGGTAGTCTCGGAACGCGCCGACCTGATCGGACGGGTGGTGGGCAGCAATGGTCCTCTGGCTGACGAGTTGGGGTGCTTCGAGGTGAACCTCTTCAAGGACGGGCGCTGGGAAAGGTGCGGCGAGGCCGGGAATATCTTGCTGCTCAGCCGGCAGTTGGAATATATGTTCACTCGTTTCTCCCTTGAGGGGCTGACGATTGCCATATGGGTGCCCTGCTTCGTTTATTGTGGCCCAAACGTAGAGAAAAAAAGCGTTGGGATGACGTCCCGGTTTGGGGTCCACTGACTGGCAATCAGTATGACCAAAGTAGGGTTTTCTCCGTGCATTGAACCTGAGGGATTCGTTTGTCGTTGACAAGGGGTTTTCGATGGTTGGTTAAGATGCACGATCACGCCTTCATGTTCGTGGACGATTGGTGAGAGAGGCGAGCCATTGGGTCCGGTTGTTCATATTTCTCACTCCCCGCTCTTCCCCCCCGTGGTGAATGGTCTAACGACTACGGCATGCACGATTTTGAGTACACCTCCCCGCGCTCCCCCCCCCCGGTGTTTGCCATCGGAGTTGGGTTTTTGTCGCTTGGCAATGACCGTGTAATACAAACCGATCACTTCGTGAGCACGGCAACCGGGCTGCCGCTTTTTGTTTGCGTTTGGTTCTTTTTTGGCGGTAACTAGAATTGTGGTCGAGTAGATTATGTTGTGCGGGGTCAAGAACCCTCACTCCGCGCGAAGGGGATGATCGCGCCACGTTGTGGTAAATTGGCCGAGCACCCTCGAGGCAGTTACACAGTGCTTATAACTGTCTTTGGAAGTGAACGCACCAGAAAATACATTACTTCATTCGCAACTGTCATCCGTATGCACGGAAGTAAGCACAAGATGCCGAACACCCTTAGCAGCATGCACCGCATCCTCCATGCGACTCGCTGAGAATCCTCAAGGCCCTTCGCGCTTGGTGATGTTAGAGCCGGTCCGGTGCGAACCCGGCGGGCTCCATCCCGGCTTTGTAGGGATGCGAGGTCAGTGGTCGAAAGACTCGACCACGGCATGCACGACTATGAGTACCCCTCCCCCGCACTGCAGGGTGACTGTGGTGTTGGTTGTCGCGGACGAGCCGGATGACAACAATCCTCTAGAAGCCCCACGCTGCGAAGGAAGCAAAGCGGGGGTGTTGTTGTGAAAGTGCAGTTAGTGACAGCAACAACAGTGGCGACAACCTCACGCGTCTCTGCTGCCGTGTTATTGCGGTCGTGTGCCGCGTACAGCGTTGTCGTGGACAGCTGGTTGCCGTGCAAGGATCCCGCCCGCCTCAAGGGGAAGGAGAAAGGTCTGGACCACTTGCCCGCCTTCGCCAAAGCCTTCAACAACCAGATTTGGCCTTGCATCGTGGAAAAGGTTCGGATGGAGATTTTACCCTTAATCTTTTTCCGCGACTGCATCACCCTTGCCTGTCCCCCACGGTGGTTCAATATGTCGCGCCGAAACGTTCTGACTCTCTAGGCGGCGTGTTCAAATCTCACAGGAGTGAAAGCGTTCGCAGGATAGGCGTGGGAAACACATAGGCGTGGGTATTCTCAGAAGGAATTGCCGAACCCTGCTCGCCGTAAAAAATGAAGGCGGGCGCCTCAGGCGAGGCGACACACCACACCACCCGGATAGTCCTTGGCGTGCATGTGTGTACGTGTTCTCGTCCCACATAAATATGCCAAATGAGAAAGGCATCTCTCTCTTTTCGAGTGTGTGTTGGCCTGGTGTCCGTAGTTTCCACCTTGCCAAATTCTCTAGCTTGTAGCGTTCGCGAAGGCTACACGTGCTGGAACCCGAAATTCCTCATGCGGCCGTTCTGGTTAATTTTGCAGGCGTTTGCCAAGCAGCACGGATCCTACGATGCAATATCTGGGGGGCACGTGTGCGATGCGTTCGAAGCCCTGACGGGGGCACCAACGGAGACCGTCATGCTCGGTAAGGGTGCGCTTGTACGGTCTCAGGCGTTTGATACATCGTCTCTGCAGTGCGACTCGGTCGAGGCTGAGCTAAGTTTGGGTCTCATAAGTTTCAATGCGACGATGGCTATTTTCTCTGCGCCCTGCGTCGATTTTTGTCCCCACACGCTACCGTTGCCTGCTCTTGAATATTATTGTTATTGTTGATGTGGTTCTTGTTCGTTGTGCGTTGAAACTGCTCTGACATCCGGTTGGTCGTGCGATGATGCTTCTCTAGGGCATCGCTGCTCTCCGAGAGCTGGACGGGCACCCCTGGAGGGCAGTGTTCATAGGGGTACCTTTGAACGTGGCTTTCGTAGTCCGCAGGGCCAACTTTCTTCTCAACATAATTTACGATTGTGTCTGTTTTTCCCCGCCCTCATTGTTTGCAACCACAAAGCTCCTAGAGATATATCACGTCAACATATGAAAGGCGGTAGTAAGCACAATACACCATAATGAGTTCGATTTTGGAACACTTTTTTGGGATAATTCTTCCGAAATGTCGCATAAAATTTCCGCTGTTCCTTCACTGGCGCTCTCAGCACCGAAGATAATTCCTACCGTCGCGGCGAACGACCTTATCTGGGAGCGAACGCAGGCTGTTTCTTACGAACCTTACTTTGGTTGCTCGTATTCCCACCGCCACCTACGTTCACCCCAGCACTTCTATCTCGCCACTTGCTTTACACGGAGTCCGCGACCCAAGAAACGTACCTTTCCTCTCCACGACAGCGCATTCTCTGTTTGCCGCTCGTTCTGTGCCTGCTTTTTTGTTTTCCCACGAACGGCGTTGTTGCCTTGCTCTTTTGGCCTGTTCAACGGTGCGGCTGGTTACCTGTGGTTTGCTTTGCTGCTACTGCTGCTACCGCTGCCCCTTTTACTGTACTGCTCATCCTGCTGCCATTTGTCATACGATACCACTATGCGGATTCCTGGGACTTTCTTCCGGATTGCCGGCGATCAGACAACGACGATTCGGAGGGCAACTGGGCCCAGCTACTGAGCTTCAACCAGGCAGGCTTTCCAATGGGCTGTGCTACTGCATGGGACCCCACCAGGTGGGTCGTACTCCCACCATGGGTTCCTATTGTAGGCGTGGGTGATGCCGTGTCTTGAAACGTTCCCAATAGCATTGCTCATAGAGTTTACAAGGGCCGGACGCGTCGGACTATCGCGCCCACGCGTCCGGCCTAAACTCCCCGCTGCTCCGTGAGGCGCCCAGTTCCGAAGCGTCAGCTTGAGTGCAAATGTGTACCTACCTCTTTATTTTTCGTGCTTGATGCTGCCATCTTACTCCCTTTGCTGCCCCGCCGCTGGTTGGTGCCGCTGCCCCTGCCAAATTTGCTCGTGCCATAGGGGGCTCCGTGACGTGGGGCTGGTCTCAACGCACGCCTACTCTGTCCTAGAGGTATCAACAGTCCACGGGCGAAGCGGATTCTAGCGGTATTGGGATCTCGAGTACACGGCGGGAGGGGGGGGGGTAGCCTTTGTTCGATCACGAGTACAGAGGGGGAGGGTAGCCGTGTGTTCTATTCAATAGGTGGGGGTTCTCTCGATTCCTTGCAAGGCGTTTGTGTTGAAAACAGAGGAGTTGTGGGTCGGGGGACTGTAGGGGTATGAACGTGTCTGGTCTCGATGCCCGCCGGCGTTGCTCCCCGGGTATGGACATGGACATATAGCAGTCGAGGTGGACGCGTGTGGGAGTATGCACGTGTCTGTGTCACTTGGGGCGGAAGGGCCAGGCAAGGGCACGAGGTGCGATACTACCTCTCATATCGAAAGCTTGTTTAGTTTGGAATGTTGCTTCCGATCGACATTTACGTCTACGAAGGTGCGAGAACTCCCCCCCGGAGTTCGAGGAGCCAGGCAGCCGTCCATTCGAGACTGGGCCGGGTTGGGCAGCGCCGCCGCGGCAGCCGAGCAGGGGCGGAGGAGAGACGGCGAAGCGTCTGGACAACCTCTTCGGCTTGTGAGAGTCCGCAACCCTTGGTGAGCCCGGGGCGTGTCTGGTGCACGGCCGCCTGTGACCGTTTTCGTACACACGGACAAAGAGGCCAGGTCTGTACCATACTCCACTTGGTGTGCATCTGACCAATAGCTGTTGTTGGTAAATCTGTGTGCATGCTGTTGTTGAAAAGGGGGAAGCGCGAGTGGATTGGGGATTGGGGCGAGAAGTCGGAGAAGTGGAGCGACAGCGTCCGAGCGGAGCTTGGCTGGAGCGAGAAGAATGACGGCACCTTTTGGATGACGTGGCAGGGTAAGGCACCGGTGACTCAATAATCAATAATTTGTTGCTGTTGATTGATTTGGATGCCGCGCTCGGTTTTCTTCCCACCTACCCTCGCGGCTGACGTGGATGCACGGCAAGTCTTGATACGATGTCCCTTGGCTTTTGCATGTGCATTCCCGGTTATTACAAACTTGTATCGACACGGGTCCGCAAAATGCGGCATGCTGGGGGAAGATAGTGATGCACCACCTTGGTTTTTGCCGTTGTTGTACACACCCTGCAAAACTGCGGCTGCAGCTGGTGCTGCTGGTGCTGCTGGTGCTGCTGGTGCTGCTGGTGCTGCTGCTGATGATGCTGATGATGATACCGCTGCGATGTGATGATGAATCGGCCTCGACAAGTACCATGCTTGAAATTCTCCGGTCGTTCTTGCCGTGTTTGGTGTCCGTTCTCCATCAGACTTCATGACTCGATTTCAGCTAGTGGACGTATGCAAGGCAAGGCGAGACTGGTCCCACGCTTCTGTCACCACCCACAACATTCCCAGCCCCAAGGCTTGCAGGTATTAATAGCGCTCAGATTTTGATCTATATCGAAAGTACTGTGGGTACCGCTGACTCTACACACCAGTCGAGATGCAAGCCGATGTACCTCTCGGTTTTGCACAGAGCCAACGTTTGCGAATTCTATGTGCTAGCGGGTACGCTCTGTACTTCGCCACTATTCCTTGTACGGGTCTGCTGTATGCGGTGTTTCCTGTGAGGTCGTTTCCCGATAAAGCGGCTTGTGAACCAGCGCTACTATACAAAGGAGCTAGTAGACATGAGGTCAGGTCATAAATTGAAAAGCACCCTATCCGTTCACCTGTGTAATAGTTCTGTCTAAAGTCAAGACATTGAGGTGATGGCATAGGGGACAGACACCTACCTTCGACGGCACGTCTTGAGTGCATCTCTCAACTTCGTACAACCTGTTAACGTTCATATTATCCGGTACACATGACAGCGGTGAGCGCGGCGCAATCACAGTGAACCATATTTCGCTTTTTATCGTGCTTGCCTGTAGCCATCATACATACATGTACAAGCTTTTTAACTCATGAAAGTATGGCCGTGTTGTACGTGGCGTACAACAGAGTGCCGTTCGGTATGTAGCTCCGGACGATGCCCCACCGCCCCTCCGCGCCTTGCAGATCTTTTCGCGTCAGACCTCCGCCGCCACCGATGGCAGCAAACACAGAGGGGGAGACCTCGTCTCAAACAGCGGGGAAAAATCCAGCAGCGACAGCTACAACAACGTCGCCGACAGCAGTGGCAGCAACACCAACACCAACACCAACAACCTGGGCGTACATTACCGTGGTCCAGCCAACCAAGCGGGGGCGGAAGGACGGGTGAGTGCTAGCCCCAACCGTGGGGCCTCTCATCCTAACGCTTAAACCCTTCATCCCTTTCCGTACCCCAAACCTCAAACCTTCTACCGTTGATGTCATCTCCGAACTATGTTAGTTTTGCCGTTGGGGGACCATGTGTTGTCATTACGCGATACCAACAACCTTGCAACCTGGTCGCTCATGGTGGGTAAAGCCGGAGTCCAGAAAGCAGGGTTGCCGGAGCTTGACCCCGTGCTGAACCCCCTTGCTTGTGCAGCGGCCACCCGTTCCCAAGCTACCATGTATCGGCAGTCTCCGTTGTCTCTTTTTCTCCTCTTATCGAGTTATATATATCTCCCCAAGAAATTTATGAGTAAGAGAAAGGCAAGGTAAGGAGAGTAAGAAGTCAAGTATAGAGATGTCCGTGAAAAGTGAAGCACGTTTTCGGCGACGCCAGGAAATCAAACAATTGGTCAATGAACCGTCTTGTAGTTCATTCTTTGGCGCCCCCCCCCCCCTTGGTTGGCAGCTACTGGTACAAGGCTTTGGGGCTGCTGGTGACAGAGATGAGCCCCTCTCTTTCTGCTCGTGGAGATACGGGCCACGGCGATGGCGTCCTGGTGGCTTCATCTCTCGGCGGGGCGAAAAGGTGATAGATATGGACGAACCTCGAACAACAAGGGCCAGAAGGGTGCGTGCACGTCTAGGAAAACGCTACAACGAGCTTCTTGCTGTGGTAGACATCGTCGTCGTCTTGTTGTGGTTGTGATTGTGGTTGTGATTGTGATTGTAGTCGACGTTGCTGTCGCTGATATGCCTATCTTCCCAACGAATCTCGCTCTGACCTCGACCACAGGAATACCCACTCTTCCCCAACCTTCTTCGACGCAAAGAGATGACGCAACCGTAGTCATGCACAGCCTGAAGAAGGGCGCACTTTGAAATGATACAAGGCACAAGAGCAAGTCCCTGGCACTCACGGTGTTCGCCGATATGATACAACAGTAGCATCTGATGAACTCCCGCTTTCAAGTTCAGAAGGCGCAACCGCAGCAATTTCTTCTTTGGCATTTTCGTCCGACGAGGAGGGAAGTAAATTGGTGACGAGGTGATAGCATCCACCCTGTTTCGACTGAGTACCACCGATTGACCAGGCTGCACACCGGTTTAATTTCACTTGTGTTTTTGTTTGGGATTACTACCCTAGTCCATTGTGGCTATGTGCTGCAGGGTGCGCCACAATTACGCACATCATGTGGAAGGCTGTTGAACGCCACGACAAACGGTTTGGTGCCTTATGAAAAACCCGTGCCAAGCGAGGATCGAGGACCCTGCGCTCTTCCTGGTAGCAGCCCCGCTCCCCCCCCGCTGAACCTTCAACCCACCCTCTCCTGTGCTCTACTCCACTGCTACAAGGTCTCTGTCGTGCGAGGTGTTTCTGGAGAGCGACAAGGCGTACACGGCATCGGTGGTGTGTCTGGGCGTCGAACATGGCGACAAAATATCGTCCGGAAGGCGAAAATTATCTGCGGCAAGCACCCTCCTCGGAGAATCGACGGGGTTCTGGGGATTCCGTGTGACGGTGTACAGCGCTCGTACCGTACAGGTAGGGTATGGGTATTCATGGATGCACGTGGACGGCGGAGATGGAGTGATTTTGCGCTCTGTGAAGTTGGGGGTGGATGTGACACACTGTACAAACGGCCGGTATTTCTATTTGTGTCCCTTCGGCTGTTGCTTCCGATGGCACACAAGAATGATCATCCAACCAGGGTAGCGCAAACCAACACCAGGCTTCAGTCCTGTTGAAGTACAGACTCGAAGTTTTGGCATCGTGTGCTCACAGCTAAATACCGGTTCCAACCGAAACAAGGCGGTAGGCGAAGCGAATCCATTCATCGCTATATCTCGGCCGTTTCTCGCCGGTCTCGGCCGGAACACTGCGGCATCGCACGGGTCGAAGAGCAATGAATCCAAGCCAGGTGAGAAAGAACGAGGCTACCCCATTTATCACCTCTCGCTCCACCTCGCGGCGAAACCATTGGCTGCCCGCGCCGCCATCTCCGGGTACGATCATGGAATGGAGACTATCCTCGCTGTCTTCTCTTGGATTGTTTCCCACGTCGCAACTCCCCGAATTGCGGGAGAGAGCAGATCGTCCCAGGAGAGCAGCGACCAGCCTCACCCGGATACTTTCGAGCGGGATCCTCTATACACCAGGCCTTATCCCGTCGATCGTCGGAGGTGAGGGGGAACCCTGGGTGGCATCGATCGTACCAGGCCCTTCGGCGGAGCTTGGCCTCGAGACAAATTTGCAAATTTGGAAGGACACAGTGTCGGCAGGGAAGTCACGCACGCCCCGCGGCAGGTTGGCCTGAATTCTGCTGCTGGGTTGACCACTACGTCTCGTGTACCTCTTGGCAACAACTTGGACGACATATGGCATGTACCACGGTACCCCTTGCCCCGCTACCCCGAAGTAGGGGTGCTCTCATCGTTTTTCCCGTTGCCCCTTCCTTTCATCGTGCCGGGTTGGGATCTCAATCGGGGTCTTATTTGCTCGATGCCTGCTGCATCTCTTATTTCAGGAGATTTTGGCGGATGGGGTCGTAGGGTGTCACGCCGTTTCGGTGCGGAACCCCCTTCAGTCGTTTGCACTAGGTGGGGGAGCTGCTCTGTCGGTGGTCCCGATGGAAGGCAGCGCCGTATTCTTTCTGTTGGTGAATGTCAGGTGTGTGTGTGTGTGTGTCCGCTTTTATGAACTGGTGGATGTGCGGCATGATTCGGTCCAAATGGGCGGTGGGAGGACGCAGACCACTGTTTTTGAAAAGAACCTACTGCACTACCGTCGGGATGGCATTGTTTGAATGAGGTGTGGTATTTGGCGGGCTGTAATCCTTGTCATCTTGTTGGAGAGCAGGGACACCTTCAAGCTGAATGCCTTGCACCCGTTGCGACTCGTGCACAAGTTCATTGTGCACGCTCGTTAGATGTATTTCATCGCTTCGGCGGCAGGCGCAGGACGTCCGCCCTGACTATCACACAGGCTGGTCTTCGAGACGAAGAAACGATACGTTGTCGCAATACAGTGCTCAATCGCGTCCATACTGCGCCCAGGCACCATGCCACGGGGCCCGTCTCTGCGGAAAAAGGAGAGTGCTGCACCAGGCAATCACCAAACAAAGCTGTGTTTTCCTTCATTAACGCCGTATGAACGCAACCATGATGAGATCCTCGAATCTTCATGGCAAGGGCGCATGTTCTTCGCGGAAATACCTCGTTTACGCCTTGCCGCTACATAGTTGTGCACAACATTGCATCAACGGTGCTGCCTTGTGTCGCGTTGGCCTACATTCGCCAGGCGGACGCAACAGCAAGAATGTTGTTTGTGTCCTTCGTGGTTCATACATAGTCAGCATGGGTGCGATGTAAAGAACACTGCGTGGGATCATTACCGTGGAGCAGTACATTTCGGCTTATTCGGCTTAGAAATCTCGTCATTGTCGTAAACGCCACTCTGTGCAGCTCGTCGGAGGTTGTGATCCGTCTGACGTTGACGTCACTAGAAGGGGCAACCGTAAGCACGCCGGATTCTCGGGCATCACCGGACGGAAAAGGCATGACGAGCTCCACGATGTGCCCCGCTAGATCGCAGAAGATCGCTCTGGTTCTCGCTCGAACGGGTGAGTCTGAGTCCCTGCTGGAGTCTTGTTCGCACCATCGCCGCTCCGCTCTCCGACATGCTTGACCACTTGATTTTGATGTACTTGTCTTTGGTTCCTGTCGCTGTCCCCTGCCCGCTTCACCGCGACTCACATTTCCCCCCATGCTGGCGCGGCGATGCGTTGTTCGTCACTTTTGGCTGGTGATAAAAAAGCGGACCACGGATCATTCAGCCACAAGTTTCACTACCGCGTTTTGCGGCCGGCAACAACGGCACGAGCAACGACAGCGGCAGCGACGGCGACTAGACATGGCGACGCCGGAGCAAAGCCTGCGGGGAAAACTTCTTCGAGCATAGGCACGGGCGCCTTCGCCGAAGCAACCGCCGCCACCCCCTCCTTCGGGGGCGGGTTGTTTTCGGCACAGGCGCTCTTGCCCGGAGCGGAGGAGTTGGTGAGGCGCGCGGGAGGCTACACCTTTTCGGGGGAAGGGGGGGCGGTGGAAGGGCGCGGAGGTAGCACTGTGACGGGCGAGGACGGAGGCGTCGGATCGGCGGCGGTGGTAAGACGTAGCTGACGCAAGATCCGATGGACGCTTCCCTTCAATCGTAGATCGAGAATCGGAGGGCAGGGCAGTGTCGTTGTGGTGGGTGTATTTGTTTCTTGCTGCGACTGGCCTTGTGTCAGTGGACTTGTGACAGCGGAGCAGTTGGGCGTCAGGGTCGTTTCTAGCGCTGGGTGCTCGGCGAGCGTTGCTCGCTGAAGAGGGTTAAAGATTCTCGGAGTGGCTTCACGTTTCAGAGTACACAGGTGGCTGAGGCCTTGTTTTTGGGAGTTGGCCTTTTCAGATCTCGGAACCCTGCCGCTGTACCATGCAGTGGCATCTAAAGCTAGGCCGGGCCGGACCGACGTCCAGATGTTGGCTAGCTCGTTGTTCGTTGCAGTACGGTATCTTCGCTGCCCCCTTAGTTGTGCCATGTTGGGCTGTACAATACAACTGTAAATGCAGAGACTTTTTCAGGAGGGGAGGAGGGGCCATCCTGACCGCTTTGCTGGGAGAAACGCAGCGGGAGATGTAGCGCAACAGTCATTCGTTGAAACCCATTCAGTCTTGGTAGAAATTACGGGTCTCATGTTTGCGCGACGACATTTTTGAAGCATTATGAGGGGGGTGGGGGTGAAAAGAGCCCATTTGTTGCATTTTCTCCATTCACCGGAGCTTTGCTGTCTCTTGACAGAAGAGCATCAGGTGGAAATAGAATTGCTTCTTGGAACCTAATCGATCGTCGTGTAGAACGGAAGAACTGGCGCATGTCTTGGAGGTTGGGGCGCTCAGACAGCGGCAAGAGCGGGAATGCAAGCCCGTAGTACGTCCGCCCTACTAAAGAGTCACCAAGCTTGTCTGCGCGCACCACTTGCGGACAATGATATTTCCTACCTTGTCATGTGCGTCGTAGGTCACGAGCGACCGAGTCACGTGGCATGTCATGAGCTTTACGCATCATGTGTTTTCAGCAGTTCCTCGGAGCCGTTCAGTTCGAGAGGCAAGGCCGCCGGATAGCTGCAATCGTGAAAGGGCAACTGAGTACATTTTATGGGTGCACAGAAAAGGCACACAGCATTTCCGGGCGGAGGTTGACATGCCGGTTATTAGAAAGAAAACATTCAAAACAAACCATCTTAGCGTTCCTGAGACCAATCCAATCCTGTGTTCTTAAAGTCTCAGATTGTGCGGACTTGAGGCGAGTACCGTTTGTTTGGGACTTTCGTCGACTTCGCCCCTGGTACCTCGATGAAGGCAGACGCTACAAAACCTAGAACAGGACAACATGGCGTCTGTTCATCTCAGGCACACACAAAGCACGTATCGCGTTTTGCTCGCTGAGTTGCTTGGAACCAGTTGGCCGCAGTAGGAAGCACCCCAGAAAACAACGGGCATCAGCGATTCTGTGGGTGTCGGTCGGGGTGAGTTAATCCCCTGCACCTGGGTCGCGCGACATCAAGTGGGAAACCTTCCAAATACCATGATAATTTGGACCTTTTCCGGCCTCCTTGAGCCACTCGTCGAGGAAGCGGTTACTATCGACGTCGTCATCGTCGCCATCGTGAACCCCCGCGCAAGTTAGGCGATGCAGCCGCAGGATCGCAGTTGCGCTGGATGGAGAAAAAATTCTGACAGCGAGGGTGGTGGAGGTGGAAGCGGGTGGGCTTGTCTTAGACGGGTGGAAGACTATCAAGACGTTGTCACGTGGTTGTCGTCGAACTGGTCTTCTTTCCAGCCACTCGGTTTGTCAAATACGAAGCATAGTGATGAAATTCCGCTTCACGTCAAGCCACAGTAGACGAGGGAGAATGCTGAATGGAATGGTGGTCACAACACCAGGCAAGACCAGAGCAAGACCAATACTTGGGAGTACCGCCGAAGCTGCTGTGAATGTAATGGACAGAAGAGTGAAAATATTTTGGCCCTTTTCCGTGGATCTATGATTGTTCACCGATCGGAACGATTTTGGACTGGATTTTCACGATATTATTGCACGTACTCATTGTTCCATAATGGTGTCGAATTTCACTCGTTTTCATATCCATGACATTCATATGCTCGGGGTACGGAGAGAATGGAGAGTTTGTTTTTGAGATTCGTATCGATTCCTTCTTCGATGAGGAAGTCACGGTAAAGCCTAAAGTCAAACAGATTTTTCTAAAGACGCCACGTGTTGTCACACTGGTACGTCTGACACGATTCGACCGGGGAGGCATGTGTGCGGAGGGGGACGCGGTTTCACACCGGGACTTCGGACACAGAAGAAGCCTCTGCAGGTGAATGTCAAGGACAAAAATGGAGTGAATTGGTCACATATTTTCCCAGCAGCGAAATTATATTTGGCAGTGATGTCCCGCGTGTTTGTTTTGGATGCAACACAACGAGAGCTAATCATGCGTGTTGAAGTCGGGACTGGGTTTCACATCGGGATTTGAGACACAGAATACCCTTGATATGAAAGTCATGCACAAAGAAGAGGTGCCATGTCTTACATAGGCTACGAAAGTGCAATCGGTCGTTGGCGGGCATGAGGACTGGGTTCCACCCACGGACTTGAGACACCGAAGTCACTCTCACTTACTATGAATTTCATGGGCAGAACATAGGAGTGAAGTTCGTGATGCACGATTTCATGGAGCCCTTTTTCTTCAAAGATCACTAGAAGTACATTTTGTGGGATGTCACCTTCTTTGGGCGTATTTTCACATCAACTTCTTCAACAGTAGTGTCTACGAAGGCTAGCCCATTTGACTACTCGGTCAGCCACTGACTGTGTGGTGTAGTGGGCTATCATTACACAAGTTTAAAGCTCTTGGCCTCCCAGCCTGACAGTGATCTCCGGCGGCTTAATTACCTCCCCTCGTCACGCCCTGCAGGTGGAAGCTAATCTTCGTGCCTCAAAAGTATCCTGACTGACTGAGCGGGCCACACAAGTTGTGAACGCAGCGTCGAACCCCAGCTGGCATGACTGACTGGGTCGTCTAATGGACTAGCCTTCATTGACAAACGGCGTGTTAATAAAACCGCCGAGTTTAGTACCAGATGCATCGTGGTTCCCTCGATAAGCAGGCCTCGACGTAGCTGACAGAAAAAAAAAGAATTTCGGCAACGACGCCTCGCGATAAAGTTATTCTGACGCGATCCAACCAGGGAGACACGCGGGGTCGGAGTCGGCACTCGGTATCATACCGGGACGTGCTTGGTACACAGAAAACCCTGGCTATGGGCCCTTCCTTTTACAAGGCCAACAAGGATGACAACCTCGAACCCGCCCCGTACGATGCGGTAATGGAATCAAGCTGTAACAGCGATTCGCTTTCACCAAGCAAATTTGTGTATGTCTCTCCCCGTTGCAGTCTCTCGTGATGATCTGACCTTTCGCCTCTGGACGTTTCGTATAGTCTAGACCGAAGAGGATCCCCTGGACGTTCCTGCCTTGAATAATAGCGCCATATGATCCTTGCTCCCTCGGCACCAAAGCGAGACAACACCGATGCGTGCTCAGGCCAAGACCTCCCCCACTCTCGTCGTGAAGGGCGTGCCAGTCGGGATTTGGCACTCATTTTCACTCGGGAGCGAGGAAAGAGAAGCGGCAAGACGCAGCAGTAGCCAATGAAGCCAAGGGTACTCGACACACATTGTATTCTTCCTCCAACCGGAGTGTGGTGGACCAGCCAACCGGGGGACTACGTGTATCATCATCTTCCTGCACGTTATCTGCATTGGATCGGATATGAAATACTGAAGGATGCCCCACTGAAGTGAGGGTACTGATCACAAACACGACGATGATGGGGCAACAACATCGTGCCCTCAATGATTTCCATTTGGACTGTGAAACATAAGTGGGTCAAGGTATATTTACGAGGAAAGGCGCAGCTCACACCTGGAAAACCTGCTTACACATGTGGGAGAGCGGTATGTAAATGAGTCACTCTCACTGCACTGCTGTGTGGCAAAGTTGGTGTTGTTGAGCTATCGTTGGGTGTCCCTATTTTGCATTGTATCTTTGCCAGCTTCGGCGATTTCCTACGCACCCCACACCCCACACATCGCTGTGGGTCATGGTGCTGAGTGATTTCTTCTGGGATTCGGCGTTGCCCCCCCCCCCCCTCCCGGTTTTTGCCATCGGGGTTGGGTTTTCGTCCCTTGGCAACCACGTCGTGAAACAAGCCCCCCCCTCGGTGTCTGCCATCGGGATTGGGTTTTCGTCGCTTGGCAACGACGTTGTAAAACAAGCCAATTCACTTCGTGAACTCGGCAACCAGGTTACCGTTTTTTTTTTCCTCTGTTTTTTTTTTTGGCGGTAACCATAATGGTGGTCGAGTAGATCATGTTGTGCGGGGTGGAAAACACTCGCTCCGCGCAAGGGGGATGATCGCACCACGTTGTGTTAAAATGGTCAAGCATCCTCGAGGCAGTTACACAGTGCTTATTACTGTCTCTGGAAGTGAAAGCACTACAAAAAAAATTAAGTCATACGTAGCTGTCATTCGTACGCAAGGAAGTAAGCACAAGATGCCGAATACCCTTAGCAGGATGCAGCTCACCCTTCATGCGACCCGCCGAATACCTCACGGCGCTTCGCGCTTGGTGATGTGAGAGGCTGGTCCGGTGAGAACCCGGCGTGCTCCGTCCCGGCTTTGTAGGGATGCGAGGTCAATGGTCTAACGACTACGGCATGCACGACTATGAGTACACCCCCCTCTTGTGGATAGGAGTGAGCGAAATAGATGGATGTTCTGGCGCACAGCCTTTTGGTCTTCGTCGATGTCTCGCCGGTGTATTCATGTAGCACGAGATGACGGTTAGATTTTGATCGTATGGGGTCGATATGTTTGAGTGTACAGTTGTAGTCTTGAAGCCCATCTTGGAAGAGCGTGTTGCCGGAGAAAGTTTGCTTATTTCCCATTAACGGGTGACGTTGTTCTATGAGTATGTTAATGCAGGCTCCCATCTAGAGCTCTCCAAAACACACAAATCTCGATATGCCGCGTGACATGCGAGCCTGCGTTCTTCGTATTTGCGAAATCGCACGCCATAGCTCTGTCGATAGTACGGGCAAAAAATCTAAGTGTCGGTTTGGCTTCGAAATGTTTCGCCACCACATTCAGCTGCGACAGAATACAAACCATATATTCCCCCCCCCCGAGCCGAAATCAACTCTCAATCAGCGCGTTAGCCCGGGAGTGAACCAGCCAGTGCAGTAATCCCCCCAAGACAATGCTCACTGCTGGGAAATGGCCAAGCAGGCGACCTACATGTATGAAGTTGACAGAGTCTGCCTTCCATACCTCGCCGGAACTTCCTCAATTTGCATATATCGGAACAAGTACAACGGCAACTAAACTTGAGAAGCGCCTCTTCCTTCTTCGAGTTTGAGAAATTGCACGCCTACCTCCGTCCAAACTACCGCACCTATAGACGAATGCGCACAACAACAGCAGCGATTTACTGTCAACGGAAACGACTCCCCATCCATAAAAACATGTCATTGCGACCCATGCCCAACAGAGAAAGATATGCATAGAGTGATCGGTCAATCATGACGCTTCAGCCGAATCGACTACCAAATCGACAGCATACACTCATTCGGGAGTGGACCGCGCCAATCAATGCAGCCCCCCAAGATCGTACTCGCTGCAGATTTGCACCGTGGTGGCGGGCATTCTAGAGCTAACGGGCAAGCGTTGATACATGAAAACAAAGTCTCCCTTCACCGAGTCTCCGACATATACACCCTTAGTCTACATCTTACCAGATACAACGACAACGACAACGACAACGAAACTCGCGAGCCACGTGCGCCTCTGCGTTGTTCTTCATGTTTCGGAAATCGCACGCCGTTGAGCCGGTTGATATTTGAAATACCCAGTTTATGCTACATATGACACTATACATGAAGCAAGTCTAGTCTATGTGCCCAAGCATCCAACCACAGCGATTTCATGCCAACGGAAAACGACCCTACACATGGAATATTGCGACCGACATCGAACACAGATGAGGTTGCTGTCCTGCCTGCCAATCAGCCGAAATCAACTCGAAAATCAGACAACATGCTGCGGTACTTGGTGAATGCACCCTAAGATCACGCTCACTACTGGAAGTGACTTGAGTAGGCTGATAGGAGGTTCATTCTTTCAAATTTGCTGCGAGGTCGAGGACACCCGAAGCAAGCAGTCAAGCGAAACACACCTCCCCCCGGCTATTCCTGGGCATCCTTATGTCCCTTACGAACACGCATTGAATACTTGGTCTGTCTTGCGACTCTTACTTTTTTACCGACATTTTGCATAAACAATTGCCGACAGCGCCGCGAAGGTTGGTCACGCCACAAGCCCTGACGACGAACTGAGAGTCATGGTTCGGCAGGAAATTACTTCGAAGCCCTCTGGTTGCCAAAGCGGGTGTCCTGCGTGTAGTACTCCTGAACCTTGTCCTTCTGCGCCTGCTCTTGTGCATGCTTGCGACCTGCGGCGACATTTTCGGCGTCTTGTAGAGCAATGGCAGCGAGGGCCTTCTGCTCTGCATAGGCGGTACCTTTGATGGAAAGCTCGCTGATGTTTGCTTCAAGCGCGGCTGCTTCTTGCTGAAGCGCGTTTCTGTCTGCGGCGACTTCCGCGGAGAGCTCAGAAATAAGTCCCGTAAGCCCGACTATCTTGCGCTGGACTTCGTTGCGTGCTTTCACGATATTGCCCTCTTCAAGTCGAAGCACCGCAATCTCCGCCTTCTGGTCCTCGGTGAGCTCGGCGTCGGCCGTTGCGGGCACGATCTTGGCGATTTTGCGCTGGACTTCCTCGCGGTCTTGATCGAGCTTGGCCGCTTCCCGGCGAAGACTGCCCAGGGACACTTGGCGCGTTGCGATTTCCGCTTCTATCGCCCCTAGTCCAGCCAAGCTGTTTTGGACCTGAACCGATCGTTCCTCGAGCCTCCTCTTCTCGCTGCCGTTCAAGTTGCTGGCCTGGCTGGCGAAGCCGAAGGCACGCTGCGCATCGTGCAGCGTGGTCGTGGCATCCTTAAGGTCCTTGGGAATCTTGAAGATCCCCTGCATGTTGCCAATGTGGTCCTCAATGATCTCGACGACCCTGTTCGTCTCTTCGGGGTTGTTCTGGCTGAACCAGATCTTGCGGAAGATGATCCAGTCCTACGATATGAAGGAGGGGGGAAAGGGGGCAGAAAATGACGCTTCGTCCTGTTGTCGTGGTTCCATGGACTCACGTTTGGCTACCGGAAGTAGACGCGGGGGAGAGACAAATCGACGAGACATTTCGGTGTGTGGCCGAGGCCCTCCGAGCCTCAATATCCTACAACATACCGTGCAGTGTGGTGGCTCGTAGAAAACCAAGTGCATTCCACGTTCGAAAAACATACCAACCCACAGCAAGCAACCCCCGGCCGGATGTTCGCCGTTGAAAACACGCCGTGGCGCAGACGACAAACACATGTGTCGTGACGCACCTCGTTGGTCATGGCGAGAGCGGCATCGGTCACCGCCTCACGCAGCGCATCGTTGTCTCCACCATCGGTGGCGACAACGCGGACGTTGATGCCGATGTGCGCCTGCAACACCAGGTCGCTCTCCAGCTCTGACAGGAACCCTGCCGGATTCGGGGCCCTGAAGTACTCCCTCTGGAACACCTCGTAGTCCTCTTGTGTCCACCTCTTGTCTTGGTCGACCTGCTCATCTCTCGAAAGCTTGTCGTCTTTCGTGATCCAGCTGTGTGGGAGGCGGTCGATCGGTCGTTCGGTCGGGGAAAAGGGAGTTAGGCACTAACACATAACGCACGGAGGCTACAGCATCATTATGTCGTTCTATTGAAAGAGTGTAAAGTTTGACCGTCGTCTGCCTTTTTCATGCTCAGGGTGAACATCGAAGCCCTGAATGCCGGTTGTGCCGATACTACGGGCAGGTGTCTATACTCAGGAATATATTTCTCTGTTGAGGGGTGAATAGGTGGAGTCAGTACTGCCCCTCAGTACGCGGTTTTACCGTGGAAGACACCACTGCGTAGGCGTAGTCTAGGGTTCGCATCAAACAGGACAATGTTGATAGTTTGCATACATGTACCAACGGAATACCCAACACACACAGATGCGTGTGAAAACACAAAAATTGTATTCTCATCAACGCGTCCTCAAAGACACCTACCTCTGCTCCCAAAGCTTCAGGGTGTCCCAGTACGCCTTGTCGTCCGCGTTGGCGTCCACGTACATCCTGCCGAGGCGAGCGAGCGGACCCAACTTGTCCCACGTGCGCTTGCGCTGCTCCAGGACCACAGCAGCTTCTTCTTCGTCGTCGTAGTCCTCCCCGGGCCTCGCTGCGAAGTAGTCCGCCTTGTTCTTCTTGGCTCTCCGCCTCATCTCCGCCTCGATGTAGACCCCGACATCATCCGCGTCCATGAAGTGCAGCAGCGCGTCGGCGCCACTGCCTCCGGTGGTCGCGGTGTCCGCCGCTTTGCGGATGACCCTCGCGACGTTGACCCCGACGTCGTACGCCACAGGCTGCGGCGAGGGAGTGCCGGTTTGGTTGTTTGAGGGGTAGTAGTACGAAAGCTTGCTCCAGACGCCGTCGTCCTTGTCGTCCTTCCTGAATTCCAGAACGTTGTACACGGCATCGACGAGGTCTTGCACCACTCCTTGGGCGATGGGGTAGGCGGTTCGGAGTAGGTCGAGAATGGCGGTCGGCACCTGCGCTTGGTACAGACGTGTTGACATACGGCGAGGAGAGGGGTGGCGACAAGTCAGTCGCAGGACGAGGAGTGCTTAACCTATCGCACCATCGCTTGTGTGGCCGAATCACGCCTAACGAAGCACATGCTTGCGAAAGCCAAAGTCCCGCCCAACCGGAAAACGTCGACAAATGTGGTGGTATGTCCTGTTCTGCTTCACGTTTGCAGTTCCTACCCTACAGCACAAGCGCTTCGGTAAATCACTGCGCTGAGGATTAGCGTTCGTAGGCCTGCTCCAGGGGGGCGAATACGACAAAGTCACGCCGCTCCCGTTCCTTGCACAGCGGTGGAGACAATGATGGGCGGTCTCACCGTCGCGTTGTTGGGGTTGGTCTCGTCGAGGAGAACGTCACCCCAACGTTTCGCCCGAATGCGCCACGCGGCCGTGATTAGGTTCACCGATGACTTCGCGTAGAGTGCGCGCAGACAGAGAGGCATCAAGGGGGGAACGAGCGAGAGAGAGTTCAGAGGATGGACGGCGGCTCTCGCGCGGGTGTCATGCATACGCCATGCCAGAACGTTTTCGACGGTCTGCTGCGAGCTCCGGCTCAACTACTGCTGTACGGTGGATTACACACCTGCAGCGAGGGCTTGTCGGGATCCTCATCATCCAAGACATCGATCGTGTTTTCGAGCACACGCGTGACGGGCACGAGCGCTTCGATGCCGCCCCTGTCCGTCACCGCCCACGAGGAGTTGTCGTTGAAGAGGGCGTCGGCGAATGTTTCGGGGGTCGGGGCCCTCGGCCCGGTGCACCTGACGTACTGCGAATAGCGAGTGTTGAGCGTCTGTTCTTTACCACCCTCGCCTTCGGCGGTCGTCTTGATTTGCTTGCTACCGACGCTGTTCGCGCTGCTGAGCGACGAGGCCTTCTTCTTCTTAAACCCGAAGAACCCGCCTGATCCGCCACTCTGTCGCGTACGCGCATCGTTCGTATGGACGGGAGGAACGGGAGAGCCAAGGACCGGGAGGAAGGAAAACGTCAAACGTGATAATGTAAACTCAAGGGGCGCTCATTTTTCACACATTGGTGGAAATTCTCGCGGGGTCGTGCGTGTTCGATGCAGGCACGCGTGGAATACGTCTCTTCCCCAATGCCCAAGTCAATTGAAACGTTGTTGGATCCCAGATATCTCCTCATTGCTTGCGTCCATGTGACCTTCGTGTCCACCAAAACTGTCAAACTGGTCCATCCGTGACTCTTAGCGACAGGCTTCAAGGAATACAGACATTGAGTAGACCGTAACTGCTGGACAGGTTCGGATCATTCGAAAATCACGGGATGGGGCCGGAGCATACCTGCTTGCTTTCCGAGGTAGCCTCAACTTCACTCAGGGTCTCACTTGCCGCCTCAAGCAGGATGGAAGATTTCGTCTGGAGAGCAGTTTGGTCAATCAAGAGCCACAGGGACACGGGAAAGGCAATTAGTGATGAGGAATACTGGTAATGATGCTGGTAAATAATTTCGATACCAGCGTGCCTCTTTCTGCATCGGCACAGGCAAACGTCGTACAACGCTACGGCACACCAAAGGCAAAAACGCCCTCGTTTCTCGTTCCGAAAGGCTTTCCACTGTAGTAACCAACGCGTGGTGTCATTTCAAGGCGCGCGCCCAAAAAAACGAAGCAACTCTGGTTCGGGTTCTTGTCGGAATGGCACATGTTGTGGCAGCATTGGGGGAGTACAAAGTACAACAACATGTGCAGCATATTCCAGCTTGGTCGATCCGCTCACCGCTTCGCTGGACGTCATGGTGAGGGTGCTGTAGAAGATGCCTCCGAGCTGTAAACCGTCGGAAGGCATGTATGCGGGGGCGAAGTACGTAAGGTACCCAGGGGACGGGTCAGGAAGGTGAACGCTACGGGGGTGCCAAGACCACCCATCAACACGGCGTTCCAGAACAGGGCACGTTGCGGCACATTTTTCACACAAGATCCTTAGACCAATTCTCTCACAGAAAACTGAAACGCCACCCAAGATAGAGTAACGTTTGAGTTGAGGCAAAGATTTTTTCTATGCGAAACAGACAGCTAACGCTATTTGCAATACGTAGTGATGTTGGCAGGCAAAGGGTATTTCCGTTTCCGATGCTATACGTGGGTGGCTTGCAACGCCCAAGAATGAGTACGCGGTGAGAATCAGGCTCGTTACAGAGGGAAGCTGACTACACCTCGGGTACGTTGGCATCGACGAGTGACAAGCACAACGCTTTGCCTGCTGAGGTGTCACAACGTGGATCCGGGATGGCCCGCTTACAACCCTCTAACTGCCTGTAGTACCTCTTGACGCCCGTTGGAAACGTGGGACCCGAACGCGTCCAGGAACTCGTTGGCATCGCGGATGCTGTCCACCTCCAGGGCTGTCTTGAACGCGTCCTCGGACAGGACCATCCTTGCCATCGGGATGCGGAACGACTTCATGGGGCACCGGATGTCTGCGTCGTGGAAACGACAAAGGCGTGGAGCGGCAGGGGGAAGGTGTCGTGTGGTGCTGAGAGCGGGGTCCAAACGGCGGGTGGCAGTGAAGAGAAGGCACCACAACGCATGCATCTCAGTGTGTAGCGCGCATTGTGCACCGAAAACTCTTCGTTCCAATCCTGACATGCAGGTTCATGCCGTGTTACGTCGTCCAAGAGCCAGCACCGCATCAACACGAAGCCGGGTATGCGATGCCAGGCGAGCAGAGAGGGCGAATACAACATCCGAGAAATATTTGGGGGAATGTCGCGACCAGTGCGAGCACTCGAAACACATGCTTGTAGAATTTCCGGTCTTCGCCAGAGACAGTTCGTTCTTGAAGAAAGGGTGGAGGCGGTACACGCTAGCGACCAAGTTACGGCCGAAAATATTTAGTCGTCTCCCTCGTTAGGCCGTTTGACCTCGTCGTGCACGTTGGAAGATATTCTAATGCTGAAACGAAAGCAACCAGCATTTGGCGTAGACTGTGCGTCACGGGTACCGAAAAGCACTTACATTCGATCACCGTAGCGGAAGACGTCGTCTGCGAGTTGGCCCGCTGCAGGGACTTTTCCTCCTCGCTCGCCTCTGTGGTTTCGCCGCTTGTCGCGTTGCCCGACCCCTTGGTCTTTCCGGTGAACCAGGTGGCGTTGCTGCGGCTGCTGCCCTCGGAGGTGGCGATCTTTGTGGCCATGCTGTCCCCGGAAGTCTCGGAAATGTTGTGGAACGCGGACACCTTAGACATGCTCGTCGTCTGCCACACGCGTGCGGTGAAGTCGGAGACCGCGCCCGTCCTTACGAAAAGAAGGTAGGTCAGGTCAGGCACGACGGTAGACGCGTCGGGGGAGGCATAATACTCGTGCGATAGCCCATGCCTCCGTTCAACATGTCTCGGTAAAACGAACGTTGATTCTCTGTTGTGTGACTCTCTGGCTCTCATTCATTCATGAACCCATTGCACCCACGAAAGGATGCCACGTTCACATCTAAATAGCGCTGCATAGTACTACGCATCTCTTGTGTATCATGACTTCCTCTGGCCAACAGCTTGAGGAGGATGCCATCCAATGGCCACTACGGATTTTCGCCGAACATGTCGCCTCATCGGTCGCTCGCTCGCAGACTCACATTTCCACGTACGAAGGGGCGGCTAGGATGGGAGTGTAGGGCTTGGACACAATGTCGTCCGTCGTGGGGAAGAAATTCATCCCGTACAACGCAGCGCCCCCGGATGCCTTGGCGACCAGCTCTTCGTTTGAGGCGTAAGACCTGGGGTATTTACGGTAAAAAGGACGCGGTTTTCATTCGGCGGATCGAAGAGGGTTTGAACGAAGTACGATACACAATAACAAGCAACGTGCCCACAAACAAGCAGCAGGCTGTGGAACGTGCTAAGGTTATTTCAATTGTCGCTTTGGCTCCTGCGTGGAAACTCTTGGGGAAGTGGGCGGTCGTATTCCCTGGCCCCGAGACCGTACATTGTATGCAAATAAGATAATTGTATTGCTCCTTCTTTTTCCCGCTCCTGGTATTCTGTGCGCACTATCGCAGTGGCTACAGCAGTATCGACCAGATGGAGGAGGAAGCAAGAGCCAACTCAGCTAAATCTGGCGCCAGCAGCCAGACGATCACCAAACAACACCTCACCCAAACGAGGATTATGGCTGTCCGGATCAAGTTACGCTCGCTACACACCACCGATGCCAACTACGGCCCCTCACCCGGTGCCGAAGTTGTCTTCACCGAGGGTGAGCCTCTGGCCCTGGAGAGCAGCTTGCAGTGACTCGGCGCTGCCAGGGGCGATCGGGGCCAGGAACCCGTCTGTGGGAGACACCGCAGCGATCGCCTTGTCGAGGGCCGTCCGCACCTCCTCAAGCGCCTCCTCGTTGGTTCCTTCGAGGCTAACTCTCTCGAGGTCCTCGCGGGCGCTGTCGATCCTAGCCTGTGCGCGGGCTTGCTCGAGCTGGATGGACTCAACTGCTTTCTCGACGTCGGGGGTTAGGAGGCTGCTGATCTTCCCGACCGTCTCGATCCCGGTCACGAGCCCGGAGAGAACTTTGTTGCCCGAGTCGATGACGCCGCTGGCGTTGTCCAGGGCTCCGGAGACGCCGCCGCCGCCGCCGCCGCCGCCACCACCTCCACCTCCGTTGGAAACCATTGCGTTTAGTTTGTTGCCCATGTTCTTGATCCCACTCTTTCCGCCGAGCTGGGGCAACAAGCAACGCAACGTTTTGGGAATCGACACGATAGGGGTAAGAGGGATGAACGCTTGCATGGTTAGAAAGGCATGTTATGGCCGTCGCGAATATAAATGGGTTACGGGGGGCCACAGTGGCAAACCGACGCACAACTGGCGGACCGTGTATCTCCCTTGGTAGACCGCTAAACAAAACGGTACGATTTCGAGAAGACGACCGCCTACAAAGCATCAGGCGGTTCACATCGTGGGCATTTCAAATGCACACGGCGGGGTTGAGATGGCGGCAGGTCCGACTCCACCGCGTGCGGGGACGGATGGGTTGCCAAGCACGGAATGAACGGGGTGTACCACGAAGGAAGAAGAACCCAGGAGGGCGAAGTCACCTATTCGAGAGAAAGAAATCGTGAATCCGAGGAAACAGTACGAGGCACCATCCTTTACAAAGGAAAAAACGCGGAAAGGATCACCTTGGTAAGCTTGCTGAGGCTCGCGAGCTTTGGCGCGCCCTTCAAGATGGCAGGGGCGACCTTGGATACCACGGCGGCGACGGCGGGAAGAGCGCGTGACGTGTAGCCAACGTCGGGTTCCTCCTTCGCGCCTGCCCTGCCGTCCTTCGCCGCCGCCTCCTTTTCCTCGCTCTCCAGCTGTTCCGTGGCCAGCTCGATCAGCTCGCGCGTGTCCTCGAGGCTCATGGAGCTGGCGTCGTAGATCCCCATCTCCTCGAGCTGGTCGGCGACGTCCAGGCCTAGACGAGCGCCCAGCACCTGCCGGCGGATGGGAGGTGCCCCGTCGCCAACCGCGTACAGCTCCTCGATAATCCTGACTTCCGCCCGAGAAGGGGGGTTCTCCCACAGGGGCTGGGAGGCGGTGGGGTGTGCAGCGGGGAGGATAGGTGTCAGATATATCGTGCAAGCGGGTAATAAACATTGGGAGGGACATCGTCGTTCGAAAGTGCTGTAAAAGCTCTCATGTGCTTACGACCGGCAGGAAAAATGCTCCCAAGTCAGGGTTGTCGGGGCCACCTTCTGCCAAACAAGCGTACCCCGGGCCTTTTGTCACGCTGATTCTTACCGATCCGTCGAAGGTGTCGACGTTGTCACCGCCCTCCGTGTCGTCGCCGTCGTCGCCGCCCACTCCAACCACAACCAGTTTCAAGAGCAACGCCACCTCGTGCCACGGGCTGGACCTCAGCCTGCGGAGGTTGGCGATGTTCTTCGTGAGCACGGTGGCCCACTCCCTCTCGCTCCCGTCGATGCCTGCGCTCAGCAGCGCGCCGTGCATCTCCACGATGGGGGAGAGGGCGTCATGGAGGTTCCGAAGGCCGTTGTCCGCGAGGCGCTGTTCGTCGGTCGAGTTGTAGAGGGCGCGGGCCATGGCGTTGAACTCAGTCAGGTTACGCCGCACGAGCTCCAGGGCCAGGCTGCTGTCGCCCTTGCTGGACTTGAGAGCGGCCGCGGTTTTCTCGGGGAGGGCCGCGAAGGCGCAGTCGTAGATGTCCAGGGTCACGTCGACCCTCCTGCCGTCGATGTCGATGTCGCCAAGACCCCGCACCGCATTGTCAAGCGCCTTCAGGCGACCGATGTCGCGAGCAGAGTACGGCCCGCCCGTTTCGCCATCCCTGAAGGGCGACTCGTTGAGCTTGCTGCGGACCATGTTCAAGACCTGTTCGTGAACCACCTTGCGTTGCTCGAAGTGCTTCGTCATGTTGTCCTTGTATTGCTATCGGTTTATGAGCGTGCGAGGGCGGGAGGAGCGGCGGCCGTTAGGATATAGGTTACACGTAACGCTTGCCCCAATGTTCGAGGTGTAGAAAACGTATTAGGTATCTGCATGTATACACAACGGTGGGTGGGTCAGGAAAGTTGAATTCCGATGCCGTTTGTTCGCTTTGCAAGGCATGAGGAGGAATATCTGCTTACACAGCGGGGTAGCAAGGTGTGACAATCGTGTCAGATCAAAACGGCCGCCAGAAATTGCATTTCGTCTGCCCCCGCCGCTGCTAGGTTGTGGTTATGCCGGCAGTTAGGCGAAGCCATCCCAGTTAAAATACCCGAAACAAAAACAAACTACACACCAACCTTGTATATGCGCAATTCCATCCCCAAGACTCGATGTTTCAAAATACGTAGCGGGTACATCAATTTTACGAGTCACGCCATTCCTGACGTAAATACTGACATAAATAATAACAGTTGTGTCCTCACGCCTCCGCTGAATCGATCACATCATAGTCGTACATGAAGTCACACTCCGACCCGTTCATGGCCCACTGGAATCGCTACATGCATTTGCATACGTGAGACTGTTTTTGTATTCGTCGTACATGATGTCATGCCCCTTGTTCCGAATGTTCTCCCACCCATCGCACGGTGAACCTCCTCCCACACCGTGCCCAACGCCTGGGATTTCAACACTGCTGCTACCGTTTACGGTTTCGTGGGTGCCCTTTCGTGCCTACAGGAGCGCATCCTCCCGTGTGGGAATCATAACGGTCAAACGCCTTTCCCACCCATGAACGAGCCGGGCGGTAGCGTTCGGGGTAATATCGCCAACGAGTGACCAGGACGCCGAAGACGACGACGCTGACGACGAAGACGACGGAGACGACCTGGACGACGACGATGACGGCCACCTCGGCGTGTGACGCAACTTGTGACTTCAAATATTATGATACGCCTCTTTAGTCGGCGGCAAAACCCTCGCTTGCAGCGTACCACGTTCGATGCTACTTTGTATCAGAGGGTAACGATCATGCGTGCGCGATTTCCTGTGCTCTTGTTGTTTCTCTTTCATAGCCAATCGTGCGCGAGTGCGGCATTTAACCAGAATTGTTTTTACCTCCCACGTCACCCTCTACCCTGCCGCCCCCAACAACATTCCCCGTCCGCCACGTCTCACTTTTTTTCCACACTCAGGGCACACCGTCTTAACAACTCCGAGCAACACCAGCACGTGACGCATGCGTGTTGACAAGGGGCGATTTCCCCTCTTTGTTGCGTTGTTCCCACACGTGGGGCCTGAACGCATTTTCTCATATTTTCAATTCGTGTAGTTTCGGCCTTCGTCTGCGATTTCACCACATTTTTCATGTCCAAAGGGTTCTGTTGCGGTTGTACAGCCTTCCTTCTCCTTGCGTCTGGGATACCACTTCCTGCTTGTCCTTACCGTTCCCACCCCACGTCGGGGGACCGTCCTTGCTTACGGGGGAGTTCCTTCATTATTTCAAAGTATATACAGTACATACGTTCTCCACGTTTCGTACTTCGCGTTCGATCCCTTCTCGGTCGTGACATTTTCATCTTCTCCTTTCTAGCTCGATTTTTTTTCCATTCGTGGGGGCGGTGCGTCGCTCTTTTTTTACCGCTACTTGTATTCCTTTCCTGGGGTCTTCCTGTTTCGCATAATCATGTCTGGGTTTGCTGTGTACAGCAGTAACACAGCAGTACTGCTGTAGTTGTGCGTTGTTGTGCACACATTAGGGGCGGCTGCCGTGCATGCAGTCTTATTCTAGACTACGACGGACAGCCCCGTTTCTCCGCCGTGTCTGACTTCCAATATTTCCGTCGGTTAAAGTTGCCGCCGTCTTCCTCCCACCTTACGTGTTTGCTCTTTATCTCGGCTTTAACTTCAGGTAAGTACCCGCTTTCGGCCTTCGCCTCGACTTCAAATTGTCTTGCCATGTAGCGGTCGCTATGGGTGCCAGGGCTAATGCATACCGTCCTGGCCGCCTTTGTATCTACGTGCATCAAGCACTTCCAACAGTTGGACGCCATGGCAGTACGATTGACATGACGTTCCACACATACTTCGTACATGCGTGTTCTTTCCTCTACATTCAAGTAGGACCGCTGCGACGCGTTGGCGTCCTCTGCACGAGCAAATACGCATAGCCTATCCCTGGCGCACCAAAGACATTCTATTCGGTTTCTGGACTTCGCTGCCAGCAGCCCTACAATACAACCGCCCCTCGCACGGACGGATACGACACTGCCGCAAATTTGTCCAGACCGGCAGGGCCGCCTTTTCATTTTCATACAGCGTCGTCTTTTTCGCCCTTCCCTCCTCGCAACTTTTGTCACCCCCGTCTCCCGTCTGCTTTACGTTTGTTTGTTGATCGGGCATCGACCCTTTCTTTCGTTTTTCTTTTTCGCGAAACCAGGGACCTATGCATACGCAAGGACGTGTGGAACTTACATGGTTTTTTAAGCCAACTTCATTTATCCGTCTTGCGCAGCGATATCATCATCGCGTGTACTTCCTCTGCCTATCGAACCGCCGCACCCATCCCACGCATTCAGACCGCCCGCCCCATAAGGTAGGGGGCGGGGGGCCGATATTCCCCCCTAGTGATTCTTTCACAACAAATATTCCTCCTACTACATGAACTTTTTTTTTTTTTCTCCAGCCATTGGACTCTTTCGTCTGCCCCTCTGGCCCCCATCCTCCACTTCTACTAGCTAGACGACCCAACTGGGGTCACATAGGAGGGGGGGGTTGGACCCCCTCCTGCGGTTCCTGCCTGAGATACTTTTATCGCGAGAAGGGTACAGCAATCCCTTCCCTCGCGACTTATGAAGTCGATCTAGTTTTCTAACAACGAGCTATCTATGCAGCGCATCGCTTCCAAATTACGTAGACCAGGATTTATTTCGTGAGAAAAAGAACTCACTGTAGGCCGTTGTTTCATTTTTTCTACATTCCCTAATATGACCCAACGAATCCATCTCCATCTAAGAAAAGAGTATAAGATAGATGAGCAATGAATGCATAGCGTCAGCAAATGCTACGCTTGTACCTGTATTTCCACGATTTCCAGAGCAGCACACGGCGATATTCCCCCTGTGGGGCACAGGCTCAAGAAGAAAGACAGTTTTGGTGGCCGTCTTGTGCATCTACAGTATCTACTGTATCTATCTGTATGTTATGCTGGGAAGGTGCAGAAGGAAGTTGTTGGGTAGTTGATTTCGTCGGGTGTGCTATCGGTTGCACCCTTACGGGATTATGATGCAACAAGCAATTTTCGGGGTATAATGTGCGTGTGTATCCGAGTATTGTACCGGTATGTGTTATGTATGCGCAAGGTACAACATCATGGATTGCATGGATCCATGTTTTTTTTTTTCATCACGCCCTTTTTTTCTGGACTCGGTCCTTACCCTTCTGGCTTTCCACGGTACAATTTCTGGACGAACTAGCAAGGGTCATCAATCAGGAGGAAGGCCGCACACAGGAGTGTTGCTCCGCCTTCCTTCTGCGGAGCCTTGGTTACTCTCGCGAGAAGGATTCAGCCGTTCCTTTCCCTTTTGTCGACGGTAAAGTCGAACATTGCGCAATTAACCGCAGCTATACATATATATGCACAGCCAGAACTTATTTGGATTTTCACTTTCTTGTGAGCGGCGAAAAATCCCAGTTCGTGACTGCACTGCGCATCGAACCCGCGTCCCAAACGTCGAGGTTAAGAGGCTACCTAAATACTGCACCACTTCAGCCAGTGTTGCGCGTAGACGTGTTTGTTTACGGATAGATCGCATCGATCGCTGGAGCCACATCATTCACCCGCAAAACCTTTGTCAAGCGTTCGTTCTATGTTCATACATAGACATACATACGCTCTTCTTGCCACTCTCAGCACTCTCAGCAACCACTCTCAGCGTGATGAGCGTGTCGTTGCACCAATGGCATACGCTTTGTTTGTGCCAGTAACACAACAGCAGTGCAGCATTCGGCGTCGCCTGGGACACTAATATTCTGCTGTGCACTCGTGTTGCCAAAACCTGGTATTAGATAAACTTCAACACTGCAACCAATCAATCACAGAGGCACGCCGTTGCATGTGACAGCTGTGCTATCGTTCACCTGATGGTCGGTAACCATGTTGCACGGAGTAGGATAGGCACAGGGATCGGCTTGGAAGAGGATGTCGGACGTGTCTTTGTTCAGAGGGCCGGTCGGTGTGTGATGGTGTGCGCGTTGTGTGGGTGACCGGGTGTGCGTGCGCGACCCACGTCCTACCGGTCGCGGATGTCCCGTTCGCTGCACTTTCGTTGACCGGTTGAATTGTACCAACCGCATGTTTCTTGGATTGTTTTTGAGGTGGTACCCACTCTCAAAATTCCCGACAATCAGCGGATGAATATGGAGGTCCAATTTGTTCCATTTCCTCTCAGGTCAGGATACAGGATCATAACTTAACCAGTAAATGTGGTACGTGTATCCGGAAGCGAGGATCCCGGGCTATTGTTTGCAACTGTCGTTGTTGAACGCGCTGCTAGACAAAATCTAGTTTGTACCCACAGCTGCCCAATATGTGACTATCTGCGCACAGCGTATACAACTGCTACTGTAGTCGGGGGGTGAGGGGCGGTGTACTTACTGCCTCAGTCTCTCCGTTCTTCGGATGGATGTCGGAGAAACAACGAAACAGATCAATCAGGGGGGGCTTTTTCCGCTCCCACGAAGAAAGATCAACCATGGAACTTTTCGCGTTCGAAAAAATGGCTACCGGCACAATACTGGTAGTAAATAGCAGGGTGTGAGCGTGGGTGTGTCCCATTAGACTATTACCTCATCTCCTGTCAGGTCAAAGTACATATGCGTACGTCCTATCTCAGGATGTCTACAATAATCCTGGATAAAACGAATGATTGGCGGGGTACCTTCTCTCTTGTTCAGAATCATTAGCATTGCATTGCTCGGGCGACCCGAGCTCGATCTCACGCCCAATATTTTTTACCGGGAAGATGGCAGCGTACCCTCTGTGTCTTCTTCAGAAACAGGGCGGAGGAGTCCGGGGGGCTAGATCGATAGGCTCCTTGGTATCGGATTTCGGACCGCGCGAGCGACTTTCCCCGCGCGTTCGATAGTCTGCAGGATAATGACCCTGGAAAGCACGTGTATGTTCATTGACTGGGTTCTGATGAGGCCGAAAATCATTGGCTGTCACTTGAATAAACAGCAGACGAGTATCACAAGGACTGGCTAGAATTTATCGCACAGCAAGAACGAGACTATATATATATCAAGAAGTATGCTGGCCTGCCCACAAGCAATACCCTCACAAAAAATCAAGACTCAGGGTTCTTGAAAGAGAAGAACACTGACCACAGGAACCGCCCCGTCCAATTTTTAACGGCAGCATACCCATCGCGAGAAAAATTAAAGGTCAAGTCCTCCCGAAGATCCTCAAATCTTATCTCGTGTTGCAGTCTCGCAACACAGCCGGATGAAAACAACCGTGGGCTTGTAGAAATGAGGAAGGCGAGACGAAAAGAGCGCGTGGCGCTCTGCTCTCTTCTTGCGCACATTCACCAAACGCACGACGTACCAGCACACCAGCACCGACAAGCCAAAACACACACGAACACACGGAAAAAAACGGCCAGAACCATGGCCGCGCCACAAACCAACTTCGCAAACAACATCCGATCGCACCCGCCCTCCTTGTCTCACGCACACCAACCAGCCTTCAATCTCTCCCACCAGACTTCAACACGAACAACCAAATCCAAACCAAAGCGAACGAGCATAGACACCAAGCGACATCGAACCCTTGGCCGCAAACAACAAGCCTGCGGCGCATCAGGTACCGTCTAGACTAATAAGCACACATTTCCCGCCTTTCAAGCTGCATTCATGGTACAGTGCGGATGGTAATGTTCAACGGCACCTTTCAATTTTCATGCTACAAAAGTGTTTCGCCTATTTAGCGTTAAAAAAAGCAGTTTCTTGTTCTTGGGTCCAAGAAAACCGCCGCGTGCTCAATCGGCATCCTCGAACTGCTGCGGCGAAGGCGCTGCCACCGCCACCGCCGCCGCCGCCGCAGCAGCAGCCGCCGCTGCTTCTGCTGCTACCGAGGCCGCCGCCGATGGTACAAACACCTTACTGTCCGCACCGCCCATGCTGGAGCCCCGCGGCCGGCGCAGAACCTCATTGGGCGAAGACTCGGCAACCACGATAGGTCGCCCTCTCCCGGCCGCGAAGCCGCTCTTGCCTTCCTCCGGACCGACGGCCATCCTGTGTTGCCCGGCAGCGTGATACGTGGAACAAAGCGATTTCGGGGGAAGGGGGGAGGGGGGTGTACTCATAGTCGTGCATGCCGTAGTCGTTAGACCATTGACCTCGCATCCCTACAGAGCCGGGACGGAGCATGCCGAGTTCGCACCGGACCAGGCTCTCACATCACCACGCGCGAAGCGCCGTGACGTATTCGGCGAGTCGCATGAAGGGCGCCCTGCATCCTGCTAAGGGTGTTCGGCATCTTGTGCTTATTTCCTTGCGTACGAACGACAGCTGCGTATGACTTAATTTACTGTTTTCTGGTGCTTTCACTTACAGAGACAGTAATAAGCACTGTGTAACTGCCTCGAGGGTGCTTGACCAATTGAACACAACGTGGTGCGATTATCCCCTTTGCGCGGAGTGAAGGTTTCGACCCCGCACAGCATAATCAACTCGACCACCGTTATGGATACCGCCCAAAACAAAACAGAGGTAAAACAAAAGCGGTAACCTGGTTGCCGAGCTCACGAAGTGATGGCTTGTATTACAACATCGCTGCAAGCGACAAAAACCCAAACCCGATGGCAAACAGCGCGGGGGGGGCGGCATGTTATACAACGTCGTTGCCCAGCGACCAAAACCCAACCCCGATGGCAAACATCGGGGGGGGGGGGGGGGGGGAAAAAAACTTTTTTTTCTTAATAACCTTCCCTTTATCTTACTTCCGGATTTCCCTTTTTTTTTCCCTTCCCTTTTTTCCTTTTTTTCCCAAACTTTTTCCCCCCCTTTTTTTTTTTCTCCCTTCTTGAATCCCAAAAAAAATCTTTTAATTCCCCTACCCCACATTTTTTTTTTGTGGCGGGAAAAAAAAACTTCCCCCCCCCCCCCCCCAAAAACAAAAAAAATTCTTGAAATCCCCCCAAACCCCTTTCCCGAATGCCACCCCCCTGTTTGTTCTCCCCCCCCCCCCCCCTTTTCATTTCCGCCCCGCCCCCCCCCCCCCCCCCTTTGGCCAAAACAACCCCCCCCTTTAAATA